CGTATATATTATAGTCTACATTAGCATACTGTGTATATATTAGCATACATTAGCATACTGTGTATATATTAGCATACATTAGCACACTGTGTATATATTATAGTCTACATTAGCAAACTGTGTATATATTATAGTCTACATTAGCATACTGTGTATATATTAGCATACATTAGCATACTTTGTATACATTATAGTCTACATTAGCAAACTGTGTATATATTATAGTCTACATTAGCATACTGTGTATAAATGAGCATACATTAGCATACTGTGGTATATTAGCATGCATTAGCATACTGTGTATATATTAGCATACATTAGCATACTGTGTGTATATTAGCATACATTAGCATACTGTGGATATATTAGCATACATTAGCATACTGTGTATATATTAGCATACATTAGCATACTGTGAATATATTAGCATACATTAGCATACTGTGTATATATTAGCATACATTAGCATACTGAGGATATATTAGCATACATTAGCATACTGTGTGTATATTAGCATACATTAGCATACTGTGTATAAATTAGCATACATTACCACAATCACACTTTGAATCCCAGCGTATTTCCCGCAAAATTATCGACGCAGCCAACATTTTGCACGCGCATTTTCCAAGTTCTGAAATTTCTGGCCATTGTCTGCACGTTTTGAAAACATATTAAAGGGTATGGATAGGTTTTTTTTTCAAATGTGAGAAAAGTTTACTTTGGTGTTCAAATGATTAATCTCTTTTTCCACAACTTGTAAAAGTGATCACACGTGAATAAACCAAAGTATTCACGTGGTTGATTGTGAAAACCTTACCATTTCCATCACGATATTCGGCATCTCCATGTGAAACCCACTGAAAACCGTATAGTACTGGTATTCCGAAACGCACACTAGTTCATGAGCTTCACAGAAGTTGAATACATTTTGAATTATATCATCAACTGCCATACGAAGATATCCTTCCTAATAATGGTAAAACAAACAATGTTATAACAAATTAATGACGATTTTACTTTGTATAACAGCGGCAAATTTGGACTGTTGTTACGTGCTTTTGAAACTGAAAGGTATTGGTATAGCGCCATTACATGCCCAATAAAATAGTTTACTTCGTTTACCTTCAGAACGACGATGTAATTGAACGGCACTGTCATTCCCTGTCCAGCTTTCTTTAATGGAGCTTTGTCGTCTTCTTGCAATTCTTCAACACGCCACGAGATTTCTTCCAAACTGGCCGTGTAGTCCAGCATCATCGGATTGGTCGGATTTTGATAGTATTTGCTTTTGTGATGCTTCTTTGTCTTCGTCTGTGCTGACAAATGCACACAGACATGTGATCGCCACCAGGATCCCGTATTCCAACCACTTACCCATATCTATTGAATGTTGACAGTCATCGTTAAAGCGCTACAGTCCACACGCAGCGCGTGTTCGAATTTCACGAAAACAAACAATGTATTTTACATTTATGTTTATAGATATTGTTCATTGATTCCGCGAACGATCGGAACATATCGTTAGATCAAAAAAGTATTTGAAATAGCAACACATCATTTTAGCGAATTTGACACAACGCATGAATTAACTGAATCTTAATTTAGCTAAAGTGCCAATAATCTGACTGTGAGAATATACTCTATTCTAATTAGTGACATCTTAATTTAGCGAAATTGTGGATTAGCTAAATTATCTAAAATAACGTGCTAGCTAAAAAGACATGTTTTACTGCATGAATTAGTACATTTTCGGACGTTGGTTAAAACCCCGACCCTAAACAGATCATTAACTATCATGAGCGCCCTCTTAGCTTTGAAGTAACAAAACCTTTCGGAAAAAACTAATTGCACTTTATCTGCAGAAGTTGCCGCAGCGATTCGTTGTTGTTTGATCAATTAAATTCCTTGTTTCTGGCTGCGAGGGATCATATTTATATTTGTAGATGTAATTAGTAATCTTTTGATAATTAGAAGTCACTTTTTAAGTCACATGCAGCATATTGAAATGTTCATTGCCACTGGAGCAGAAACACGTGGGGAAATATATTAAAAAATTGACCCAGTCATGTTATTAGTAACAGATATAGAGAAATGTAAACAATTTTGTTTTCTTTTTATAACTAAATGCAAAAAAAAAACCATTGCATACTTAGTTACCTACCAGCGTAGAATTAGGACCGAAAAACAAAGAAACTTAAGAAAATCGTGTTTGATTTATGGAGAAGCTGGTTTTATAATTCGTAGTCTATAACAGGTATTCTCTGTTCTCTATTGTACTGTATACACTAATAGATCAGACGTGTGTCCATGGATATTCTAGATCGGTATCAGTAGTA